AATCTGTTCTTTGATAAATTGAGCGATTTTTAAGTCCATTTTCATACTAAATATATATTTTGCAAGACACTGACCGGTCGTGCATAAATTCTGACTATAGTATCGTTTTCAGCCCATCAAAATACGTCGGAAATGATATGTCACATCTCTGGGTTTGGACTTTTTTGCGTGCCTGATATTCTATTAATTAAAACGGCCAACCTCAAATATAAGGGACCAAAACAAAAATTTTGACAAAGCAACAAAAGTACTTAGTAGTTTGGTCGGACCTATATAGAATATTTTCCTAGGTCATGAAACTGGTTTATCGTATTCTCTGTGCATTAGAAATTTATGAATCTCCCAAGCTTTGTGCTACAAAAACACCTGCTGTCTCTGATATTCCCCTTTAACCAACAAAAGAGAAAGTAACAAAGTACCATTCACTTATACATTTTGCTTGACCTGACAAACTGTCGTCTTCGTTAAATGTTATGTGTCAAGTTCATGTGAATTTTAAAACTGGCATAAAGTTCGTTTCATTTTATATTTGCGACTTAAAATTATTGTTGCCTGTTTTAAGTCGTATGCAATCATAAGTAGGTAGCGGTCATGAGTACCTTGGAATACAATACCTCATTTAAATGAAGCTCATTTGAAAAAAATATGGACATATGTATGTTAGTCATACAACTTATAGAAAAACCGCAAAATTTTGATTTAGATATGATACGAAGTGTTCAGATTTCAACGTTATTGTCCTACGTTTATATTAGACAAAAAACTATTTTAGACTCGATTCTAACCAGAAAAACACATGCGATTTTTTCTTTTTATTACCATGGGCCTTCTAGAATAAACTTTGTTGTTTTGAAACCTTCAGGCGGACATATTTTGAAATACCACTCTATAGACGCTACATTCTATACCAGACGCTTATAACTTACAACGCATGTACACAATTATGCAATTGCTTGTTCCCCTCGCTGAAATAATACACATCCTTTTTAAATATTATTTTAAAAGATGGACAGTATACCTCTAAATAACTATTTACCGTCGCAGGAAGAGCACAGACAATTCAAATAATTTTCCATAGACATTTCAACACATTGCGTCTTTTTAAAACTGAAAAAACATGATTTTAAAAAACGGACATTGATGGATATGAGGTGGTAAGAACTTTACGAAAATAGACCCAATTTTTGTTTGTTTTGCTGTTGTCGTCATCAAGGTACATATCCCAACAGCAGTTCTGTTTGTTTTTGTTGCTTGTTACCACTTTACAGCGCAGTGTTTTGTTTAGAAAGCGCTAACGCGCCAGTCAACAAATTCACCTACTTATCGGAGTACGAAAGCGTAAACGGTTTCTTTTTGAGTTAAAATTGTAAAGTATGTAACAGACAGTCATAATTTCGGATCCTCCAGTATAATAATATACCTACATCAATATACTTCAAGATAAAGTCTATAGTCATATTTTTACCGCGTTGAATTTTATTTTGGTTGATGCAAACTGGGGATAATAAACATAAATATTATACAGGGTGTTTCAAAACATATGTCGGAAAATGAAGGGCGTGGTTCTTTGGCTCATTCCAAGAAAAACAGTTCTTATTAACATGGGTCCGCAAAAACATTTTCGAGATTTAGGGGGTCAAAAAAAATTTTTTTTATTTACATTTTCCAACTGCAAAAATACCTAGAATACTATACCTAAGTATTTTAGAATTTAAACTCGTGAACTACTCGATGGAGCAATGTATGTAGACAAAGAGAATAAGTCTAATTTAAACAAAGAATAATTCATGTACTATTACAATGTTTTCAGCATTTAGTCAAGTATCTTCAGTTGTTTTCAAGAAGAGTACATTTCCTTAATTGTATTGATCACCTTGTATACCGTATGCGTCTAAAGTATGGAATAAATTCAGTAAAAAAGAAACAATTTTTTTTTTTTTGGGAAAAATACTCGAACAGGTCAATTTTTAATTTAAAAAATACATATTTTAGCATAAAAAGCTATTTTCAACCGTCATTTGTTTTCGACTAATGATGTCATCGACATTTTTTTAAATAGCAACCTCCTATTTTTGTTCTTGATTCTGAAAGATCGTTTCATTGTTGATCCGACAGTATTAAAATGTTGCCATCTTAAATAGGAAAGTTTTCGAGTAAATTTTATTCATTAAAAAAATAACAATTCCTATGTCAAGCAAATACAATTCATTAAGTTTTCTACCTAAATTAAGTGATCGAATTGCCACCCATCGACTTCTTGACAATACGCAAGTCTGTGTAGAAATTCTTCTTGCACATTATGAATTATTTCATTATTATTATTTATGTGTATTTCATCTATAATACAATTTTGGAGTTCTTCTAAATTATGTGGTCTATTAACGTACACCTTGGACTTTAAGTAGCCCTATAAGAAATAGTCCAGGGGTGTAAGATCTGGGGATCTCGCGGGCCATTCTATCGGTCCTCGTCTGCTGATCCACCTCCTAGGAAAACGATTGTCCAGAAAATCTCGAAAAGGGCGCGCATAGTGCGCAGGTGCACCGTCTTGCGGAAACCACATGGTGTCATTAGGAATATCACGGTCATTATCGTTAGGAAAAATTACTGCAAGCTCTGGAACAAGGTCATTTTGTATAAACTCTAAATATTTTTCACCTGTAAGGGTTCCTTCAAAGAAGAAAGGCCCTACTATTCTGTTGTCAACTATTCCAGCCCACACAATTAATTTCTGTGGGTGTTAGGTATGTGTCTCGGCCATCCAATGAGGATTTTCCCGACTCCAATACCTGCAAGTTTGACGGTTCACTGTACCATTGTAAATCTCTATTTACTTGACATAAATCCATCATAATTTCACAAAAGTATAAGTCGGGATCGTCTTCATTGAGTTCCTGCACAAGTTGAATTTTGTAAGGATGATATTTTTCCTTCCCCAAGATACGTAGCACTGTGGTCTGACTAATTTCATTGTTTAATGCAACCAATCGTGAAGTATTGTGAGGATTATCTACCATACTTATTAAAATGTTCTGTTTGTGATCTTCATTAACGCTTGGATGTCCAGGTTTTGGAATATTTACAACATTGCCAGTTTCTCTAAATTTAGATTCTATCTTACTGACTGTTGATTGGCTGATACGGCGATCTGGATGTTTTCCATTAAATAAATCGCAAACTTCCTGCTGCATTCTAGTCTTATCCCCGCATCCGATAAGAATTAAAATTTCAATTCTTTGTGTGACAGTTAAATGTGCCATAATACTTTAAATTCAACAATAATTTTTATATCGCTTACAATACTTAGAAAGTCGGTAGGACAATGAAACTTTGTAAAGATTTACACCTACGTGATCCATAAAAAACTTCAGGAATTTCGAAAAACTAAATTTGCATGATAACGTTTTTACTTTATTTTAATTGATTTGGGTTTTCTAACATTCAATCTTCATTTACTCGAAAACATTTCTATGTAAGGGGGCAACATTTTAATACTGTCGCAAAATAGGGGGTTGCTATTTAAAAAAAAATGTCGATGACGTCATTAGTCGAAAACAAATGGCGGTTGAAAATCGCCTTTTATGCTAAAATATGTATTTTTTAAATTAAAAATCGACCTGTTCGAGGATTTCTCCCAAAAAAATAATTGTTTCGTTTTTACTGAATTTATTCCATACTTTAGGCGCGTACTGTATANTGATTTAGATATGATACGAAGTGTTCAGATTTCAACGTTATTGTCCTACGTTTATATTAGACAAAAAACTATTTTAGACTCGATTCTAACCAGAAAAACACATGCGATTTTTTCTTTTTATTACCATGGGCCTTCTAGAATAAACTTTGTTGTTTTGAAACCTTCAGGCGGACATATTTTGAAATACCACTCTATAGACGCTACATTCTATACCAGACGCTTATAACTTACAACGCATGTACACAATTATGCAATTGCTTGTTCCCCTCGCTGAAATAATACACATCCTTTTTAAATATTATTTTAAAAGATGGACAGTATACCTCTAAATAACTATTTACCGTCGCAGGAAGAGCACAGACAATTCAAATAATTTTCCATAGACATTTATTGTTTTTTACATCCAGTGTCTCAACACATTGCGTCTTTTTAAAACTGAAAAAACATGATTTTAAAAAACGGACATTGATGGATATGAGGTGGTAAGAACTTTACGAAAATAGACCCAATTTTTGTTTGTTTTGCTGTTGTCGTCATCAAGGTACATATCCCAACAGCAGTTCTGTTTGTTTTTGTTGTTTGTAACCACTTTACAGCGCAGTGTTTTGTTTAGAAAGCGCTAACGCGCCAGTCGACAAATTCACCTACTTATCTGAGTACGAAAGCGTAAACGGTTTCTATTTTGAATTAAAATTGTAAAGTATGCAACAGGCAGTCATACCTATATCATTATATTTCAAGATAAAGTCTATAGTCATAATTTACCTCGTTGAATTTTATTTTGGTTGATGCAAACTGGGGAAAATATCAATCAATATTAATATACAGGGTGTTTCAAAACATATGTCGGAAAATGAAGGGCGTGGTGGTTTTTGGCTCATTCCAAGAAAAGCAGTTCTTATTAACATGGGTCCGCAAAAACATTTTCGAGATAGGGTGTCAATTTTTTTTTTATTTACTTTTTACAACTGCAAAAATACCTAAGTATTTTAGAATTACAATGTTTTCAGCATTTAGTCAAGTATCTTCAGTTGTTTTCAAGAAAAGTACATTTCCTTAATTGTTTTGATCACCCTGTACATACTCGATTATCCTGAAAGGTTCCGTGACAAAATTTCGTCGGTTTTCTTTCGGTAATCCCGAAGTTTGCTTATATCAGTGGCATACCGCGACTGATAAACCTTACGTCTAGCACAAAAAACAGACATATAAGACACACATTAGTAAAATGTTCAATATAAGAATCTACCAGTTATTCAGCACAAGAGGGGAAACACGATTTCAAACTGGTGAGAGTTCAACACGCCGCCGGTCATTCCGATCTAAGCAAGCCTTGCAGAAGCCGAGACTCGTTTCTACCGTTTCAAAAACCGCGCGGTGCGTTTGTTTTTCGTGAAAATCGTGGTAGTTTTGCGAATCCCTAGTGGACCGGTGAGATTTGATATTGCAAATCGTGATATGCGTCTTTCGTTCCAGTAAGTTGTGTTTGGTTTACCATGAAGGAAAATAATAGTGCTAATGGCAAGGTAAAGTATTTGTTTTGGTGTATCATCTCCGAACATTACAGTAACTTGACACATTTAGTTTTAAGTAATGGAAATGAACGTTATCGGTTGAAGAACTTTTGTGGTTTTCACAAGAAGAATTTAATATTTACAACGAGAAATGTATTGTGAGGCACATTATTAACAATTAGTTGTGCATTTGCAAATGAGATTTGATTTATCAACTATTCACCTTGAAAGCAAACGTATTTAATGGCAATCACTTGTTTTTTTTTCTCTACACAATTATAATCATTATTAACAACAAAAACAAATGAAACGCCCTTGAAAACTGACCGGTAGGTATAAATTTTCGAACGAAGACGTGCCTCTTTCTCATATTTCTCAATGAATTAAAACAAATGACGTTTTTACCAGGAAAAATAATTTTTAGTTATGCTAACAAAGTAACTGTATTTGATGTGGTCTGTACCTATTTTTGTAAATTGTTGAGCGGAGCATTGGCGTTTTTTGACCGACGACTTTATTGAGAAGAGGTCAAAGAGAAAGCGAAGAGCCGAAAGTAATTATTATATAATTTTGGTATTTAATAACATTATAGAACAGTAATGGCTCTAACACAATAAGTAAACAAAAATATAGATCTCGCCTATTTTTGTTTTTGAAATCAATTTAATATTTTTGATAGAGGCCACATTTTAGTTTGAAATACCAGAACAGAATGAATGCTATTAGTATGTTTTTACAAAACTGAACGTTATTAAAAAACCATAGAGGGAAAGTGTGTCAGTAGATTTAGACTAACTACCGTCATTTTCTCCACAGCAATAGTTCTTTACTTAGAAATGCCGCTTGCTGTACTTCCTCTTACTAATAAACGTTGGCGATTTAAGCAATACTTCACTATAACAGTGTAGAAACAAGTCAATGAAAACTACAAAAAGTTATACGACATTCATAATCATAAACTCAAAAGATATGTGCCTTAAAAATGTAGTTTAATCCTTTGCTACACTGATTTACACCATACAATGCTGAGACGAATACAGATGGATGTAAAAAGATTTAAATTGTCAAGCAAGGATTAAAATGTCTGATTGTGAGTAATCGTGTGGAACACGCTAGTCAATTTTTTTTCAAATGCAAAGTATCCGTTTTCTTCATGCCAGATTAGGATTTTATTATTCTCGAGCTGATAGAAAAAAAGTAAAAGTTATTTTCTTAGAGTCTAAGGTTGATACTCGTTAGCTAACAAAGTAAATTCAATTACAATAGGAAAATGTCACAATAGGAATAAATATTAGGTAATATCTGTTTCAAAACATTAGTAAAATTTTAATCCACCACCTCAGTTTTGTGCATTTTTGTAAATAGGATTTTCGTGTACGATGATTTCACTTACGTTGTTGTTTTTGCTTCTTAAAATAGCAATTTAGGACTTTTATCAGCTACCAAATTGAAATGTGCCAAACTAATGGTACATTTTCAATAATAATGTTTATAAATTGCATTTTTATTGCCATTTAACCCACGGCATCATCAGTTTTATCTCCGTTATTTAAACAACGTTATTTGTTATGCAACAGTTGGGTACTTGTATACAAACGGCTCGTCCAATAATAAAGACCCGTAATATATTGTTATATTTATACATATATAAGCATACATAATGAAGCTAAATTGCTTTACATAATTTTTTTTCACGCTAAGTCACAATAATTAAATTCACAAGCCAAAATTAACCGCAACATATTTTACGCAATAAGAGGTTTACCTTCGGTTCCGAATTTTTTCATCATTCCTTCGTTTCCAGTTTTATAGAGCATAGTAATTTAAAAGTGATAATAAGACACCTGCACGTATTATTCATAGCGTTATTTTATTAATTAACTGTTTTGCCTCATATTATGAATATAATAATAACATGCTATAGTGCTATCAAGGATTTCTCTATTTATTATTACGTATTTTGTACATAAAAAAATTTGGACATACCTGTTTCAATGGTCAACAAAATGAGCTTGATAAGAATTTTCTGTACCTAGGTACTTATGCAAAAATTAATTTATAGCAGATTTTATATTTTTTTAGTCCGTACACCACTAGAATCATAGGAAAATGTAAAACGGTCCATATTCTGTTCTATTATTATATTATGTGTGTCATGTTTACCCAAAACAATATTTTTAGTATTAAAAACAGTATTATTCTTATTTGTGGTTTCACCTTGAAATATGTCGGATGTTTTTTAACCACGGCCTTCTCAAATATTGTTTTTGATTTTAATATTCGTTAATTCCTCATATACAGGTGGAGAGTAACAAATTTAAACATTTAATAAAAAAAACTTTAAAATGAGGTGTCGCTCAACATAGGATGCCATTTAAAGTTTAAGGGTATTTTACACCCCTGTCTAAGGGGTAGCTTCCAAGACACCAAAATTTACGCCATTAGGTCGCGTCTCAGGTTTTTTGTTTCTAATTCCGGTATTTTCCAGGTGGGAAGTTTTAATTAGAACACTCTGTATAATCCTACAATCAGTTTTCTATATAAACAGAAATAATATGAATAAAAAACTTGTTATTAACGGAATATTTTTCAATTATTTCAATATATTACAAAATGAAAATAGGACAAAAAATATGAATACCATGATTTCATGTTCAGTGCTCAAAAAAAAAACGAAATGAGACGTTTATTTGCACAATTTTTTGTCCAGCATTTTAGAAAATTTAAGTAAGTTAGAAACAATATCTCTTCTCTATACTAGTTACATATATAAGTTTTCTTCAGGGTATAAGACAACTGACAATACATTCAAAATAAGAAAAAAAACATATTTTTACCTCGTATGTTAATCTTACGCTTCCTGTATTTTGCACGACAAAAAAAAACAGGGTTCAAAGGAACTATGATGTTCAAGCAATTTTATTGCATGAATCGTTCAAAGGGTCATTTTATATGAAAAAACAGCGGAATGCTATTAGAGGGTGGAAATTGGAGATAGGGGTGAAAATGCACCCCTTTCAGTTTTTTAATTGTAGCTCGAAAACGAAGCAAAATTCCTATAGTACATAGGAAAAATTATTTAGAGGAAAATTTTATGCAAAAACTCGTTAATAAACAATTTTAAAAAATAATATTTTTTTATTTTTTTTTTACTTTTTTGACATTTTTTTTTAGTAGAAGTAGTCAAAGAAAATTGCTGTACAAAAAATTAGATGAGTTATAACCGGTCAAACTTACATACTGTTTTAGAGTTTCGTCGATTCTAACATAAATTAGAGTCAAAAAAGTAAAAAAAAATGTTATTTTTTGCTTTTTTAACGATTATTTGCATAAAATTTTTGTTTTAAATTTTTTAAATAAGCCATTTCGATGGGAAATTCAATTCCCTAAATAATTTTTCCTATGAACTATAGACAAATTTTGCCTCGTTTTCAAGCAACCATTAAAAAACTGAAAGGGGTGCATTTTCACCCCTATTTCCAATTTCCACCTTCTAATTTAATAGTACTCCACGGTTTTTTCATCTAAAATGACCATTTGAACGATTCATGTAATAAAATATCTACAAGCAATAGCCTAATATTACAATTATTGAGTATCTTTTCAAATTTGTTGTACAAAACAGGAAAGATACATTTTCTGATGTTCACATGTTCTCCGTGATCCTTAGCTGGCAATTTCAATCATCGAAGAGATCATAGCGGCATCTAACGAGAGACGCGAAATCATTGAATTTATAGAACTCTAAAGAATGCGTTCTCTCCTTAAAGACTAATAAATCGGTGCAGAAATCGCTATAGATAGGCCGCATTATGAGTATGCCAACAAATATGGTGATATTCTTCATTTTTCAGTTACTGACGTCACATCCGTATTTTCAAATTAAGACAGAAATAAATTACCGACTAATTAACTAAAAATATTTAACAAAATTTATAATTTTTTTAAGAAATGCAGATTTTCTCGGCAATTGAAAGAAACTCCATGTCAATAAAATCCTAAAGATTTAACACTTTTTTGTGCTCTAAATTAAAAAAAATAAATTTTTCTTATTTTTTCCCATACGCCACAAACTTTCCATTTTTGTTATGGTTTATCTTATTTTTTAATAACGAGTGTTCAAATAAAAACGTGATCGAAGTTGGCTCTGACACATTGGACGTAGGGCGTAGCTAATAGCGACCAGGACCAACTTAACCTCATTTGTCAACGAGCTGTATGCTGTATAAGCAGCTGTCAGTTTCAATAACGTTAATGACTATNTAACATAAATTAGAGTCAAAAAAGTAAAAAAAAATGTTATTTTTTGCTTTTTTAAATTGTTTATTAACGATTTTTTGCATAAAATTTTTGTTTTAAATTTTTTAAATAAGCCATTTCGATGGGAAATTCAATTCTCTACAAAATTTTTCCTATGAACTATACTGAAATTAAATCGAAAAATTGGTAAAGTTTGAGCGGCCATATCAGTCAATTTTTATCCAAAAATACTGTACAACCTCTCTTTTTGAAGGAAATTTTATCTACTTTTTTATGAAGCAATGCCTATACCTATCTTTACTCAAAAAAAATTAGAGGCAAAAAAGTAAAAAAAAATCAAAAAATCGAATTTTTTGCTTTTTTTTAAATTGTTTATTAACGACTTTTTGCATAAAATTTTCCTTTTAAATTTTTTTAATAACCCATTGCGATGGGAAATTCAATTTTCTAAATAATTTCTCCTATGAACTATAGCCAAATTTTGCCTCGTTTTCAAGCAACCATTAAAAAACTGAAAGGGGTGCATTTTCACCCATATTTCCAATTTCCACCTTCTAATTTAATAGTACTCCACGGTTTTTTAATCTAAAATGACCATTTGAACGATTCATGTAATAAAATATCTTGAATGTCCATAGTTCCTCTTAAAATCCTATAAGCAATAGCCCAATATTACAATTATTGAGTATCTTTTCAAATTTGTTATACAAAACAGGAAAGGTACATTTTCTGATGTTCACATGTTCTCCGTGATTCTTAGCTGGCAATTTCAATTATCGAAGAGATCATAGCGACATCTAACGAGAGACGCGGAATCATTGAATTTATAGAACTCTAAAGATGCGTTCTCTCCTTAAAGACTAATAAATCGGTGCAGAAATCGCTATAGATAGGCCGCATTATGAGTATGTCAACAAATATGGTGATTTTCTTAATTTTTCGGTTACTGACGTCACATCCGTATTTTCAAATTAAGACAGAAATAAATTACCGACTAATTAACTAAAAATATTTAACAAAATATATAATTTTTTTAAGAAATGCAGATTTTCTCGGCAATTGAAAGAAACTCCATGTCAATAAAATCCTAAAGATTTAACACTTTTTTGTGCTCTAAATTAAAAAAAATAAATTTTTCTTATTTTTTCCCATACGCCACAAACTTTCCATTTTTGTTATGGTTTATCTTATTTTTTAATAACGAGTGTTCAAATAAAAACGTGATCGAAGTTGGCTCTGACACATTGGACGTAGGGCGTAGCTAATAGCGACCAGGACCAACTTAACCTCATTTGTCAACGAGCTGTATGCTGTATAAGCAGCTGTCAGTTTCAATAACGTTAATGACTAAATAATTTTATTTTAAAGAATAATCCTGATAACAATAACAAACAATTAAAGGAGCTGCGGAAAGTCCCCCTCCTTGTTATAACACTTAAATGAAACCAGGCTTCATCAGAAAAAAAGGTGATATTATGAAGTTCACCGTAGTTGTTTAAAAACCATTCACAAAATACAGCCCGTCGCGGAAAATCAACTTCATGATGTTCTTGCTGACAAGTTAAACGATAGGAGAACAAACGCAAATCTTTTTTTAACACTGTGTGGCAGGTACCGACTGATACTCCCACCATTTGTTATAAAACACGTACAGAAGTTCTTGGCGCATTTTCCATTATTTGTTGGACATTTTCTTTTAATTCTTCAGTCCGCTTTTTAGGTCGGCCGCTTCCTT